TATAGTATAATATATTAATACGTAGAATTAAAGTAAATTAAAAGTGACTACCTCATCTTCATCGGATCTCTTTTTTGAAATCGGTATTGGTTTTAGGGGCTCGGTCTTTTTAAGTTCATGAAATTTCTCTGACGATTCTTCCTCAACGGACGCAGTGGCATGTTTAATCTCTTCCGCGGATTCGTCATCCGAAGTATTCCTGGAAGCATTTTTCGACTTTCTTAGCGCTTCTTCTAATAACGCTCTTTCATTGTGATATTCGGCCGCCAAACGCTCATGTTCGGCAATCAATGTTTTTTCAGGCGATATACCTGCTTCTTCTTTCCTCTGATCTTCCAAAACTTGTTTACTATACACAGATACATAAGATAGTTAATTTAATTTCAATTTCTTCAATATACACATACATAAGATCGTTTGTTAGATTTTTATCTTTAAATAGTTTGAGTTTTACTGTTCTTATGCGACGTATATAAATAAGTTTATTTTTTATTTAGTTAAAAATAATAATGTATTGGCTTGTATATTAATTACAATACGACATACGTTATCAAGTCTTCCATGACCAATTCATCGTCAATAAAGCCATCCTCATACATGAGGGAGGCAGGTGTGAGACCGTATCTTTGCTCGATCATATTTAATGCTTGTAATTGAAGTTCCAAGTTTTTTTGTATCATCATTCTTTTGAATATCTCGTATTCATTCGCCGCCCATATTTGCTCAAACAAGTTCTATAAAATATGCTATGATGTATAATATTATACATTTAAAGAGGAGAATGAAATGACACATTTATTAATATAAATCATAGTCAAGTTGTGTGTAATGTATTATTTCTTTTACCTTTTTTTTTTTTTTACCTAAAAAGATTTGTATATATACAATATATTAATATCTATAAATATCATGCAATCTTCTTTTGTCTTTCTTTATATCGAATACATACGAGAGTTCCTTTTAATTTTATGAAATAAACACGAAAGTATAAAATATAATTTATTATATAAATAGGGATATAATGATCGTACTTGTTGAAATTGTATTGGAATCTTCGTGTCTTTGTTAACAGTGCACGCATATTCAAATTGTTCCGGTGAGATACTCATATCTTCCATAAAACAACCCAGTAGCAAATCAACTAAATTTTTATATTCTTGATATATTTTCCGATACTCTTCGCAATCTTCGGTGTTTGCCTCGAAAACTATGACATATCAGATAGATAATTATATTTATTATCATGTTTTGCTGTAATTTCATTCAGCTGAAAAGTTTCATTGGTTTTACTAGAAAAGGCTACTTTTTTTTCTGTGCGCGCGCGTGTGTATGTACATATGTGTTGCGGGGAGAAAGTATTATAGATATATATTTCGAAGCAGATGTGTATAAAAGTATAGGTAGACAAATCATTCGAAATACATGCGTATTTTTAAATGCAAACAGCATTTGTATTTAACAGTGCGTTTGTCTATATTTTACACCGAAAAAACGGCTTAATGCGAAATATATTAATAAAACGAATATATATAATGTTCGTTATAAGCGATACTGATTTCTTTTTTTTTATTTAATTGACTATTAAAAAATTTCAGCAAAAAAGAATTATCATTTTTATGATGAAAAAAAAAAACGAAAATGCTTTCGATGACTATACGAACCGAGGGACTTTTCCTCGATGAATGTCAGTAAAGGCGATGACCATATAGGGCCCTGTAGAAATCCAATCAAGGAATCGAATACCCAAGCACTGTCATCTTTGTCATTCATTTCGCTGAAATTGTCTTTGATGTTCAAATGAGAAATCGTCCACTTGTGTCGAGTGTCCCTTTTACAGTCGTGTTTGTCCGCGAGTACGACTTTTCTTAGCTTTTATAGTAGTCATAGTTACGTAGGACAAAACATGAGATATCAGAACACATTGGAATAGACCTGCGCCGATATCATTCTTCCGGATCGATGCATGTTGTCTGTCTATGGTTTCGATTACGATGAGTAGATAGATGATATCCGGAAATCAATATATAATGTAGACTACTTCATTAATATATCTACATTGGTAAACATGGACTCGTCATATGTACAAAACAGCTGTTCGAAAATAATAAAAAGAAACTATATATTAATTTATATATCCGATATATCAAGATGTAATTTATCAAAACGCGATTGTAATTCAAGATAAAATTTATACGTAGATATGTATAATTTTCGTGAAATCACGAAAAGAAAGATTAATCGAAAAAGCCCCAGACAGCACAAAACGTCCTCAGAATCATCCTGAATATGTCCAGGATGGTTCAGGATATTTGTAGGATGTTTTAAGATATTACTATAAATATATTTTATGAAAATTTAATATGCATACATGATTACTTTCGGTTATGTAGGCTATTTAATATAATTTAGAAATTTTAAGTATTGTAATAAGTATTAATGTCCTATAAATGTCCCCTGGATAACCCCTGGATGTCTGCCCTGTCTATTATATTGAATGTCCTTTGGATTTCCAGAGGACATATACATGTGCAATTAATTGTTAAAATTAATTTCGTTTAATATTAATAATTGAATTTGATGCGCACATTTTCACATATTCAAAATTATTATTTATTTAATAATTTATGAGAAATGTTACTATGCGCAACATTCCAAAAACTTTACAAAAAATAGTATTCAACCGCTAGTTAGTTTGTTTACCGCTATGCGAAGCGCAAACTCGTATTTGAGATTTGGTCATGAGAATTATATAAAGCTTGCAAAGAGCAACTAACAGGAAATTAAAAATATAATTATTTTTTATCAGTTCAATTTCTGATGCAATCCAAACATAAGGAAGTCAGATATTGGATTGTTTTGAAAATATTACACGACTCAAACCCGGAAGCCAAACCTAAAATATTCATGTACAGCACGAAAACCTCAAATATTAAAGAACGTGAACTATTTTTAGTATTAGATTTTTAGTATTGGCAGTAAATAACAGAACGCAATCTTAATTTATATTTAAATTTTAGAATTTGTTCCTTTTAACGTATGAAAAATATCCCTAACATATCCTATAGAAATCCTTAAGATGTTCCACAGGATCTCCCTGGATTCTCCAGAGGCTAGTGTACGGCTATCATTTACTCTTCCTCAGGACATCCAGAGGAGATCCGAGGATTAAAATAGGATATCCTCAGGATATCCTACATGTATGTCCTGGATGCCCTTTGGACGTCCTAAGGACATCCTTGTGCTGTCTGCTGTCTTATACATATACAAATCATGTGTAATAATTTATACACAGCGCTCTCAATTTTTACGATACAAAAGATATTCTTTTAGGCGTACAAATAATCTTCTGCTTTTATAGATAAGTATAAACTCTTATAAAAGAGATTTTCTCATTTCTCACGTGTTAATAAATGCAAGAATAATAATAGATTGGAAGGAAAGTAATGTTGTATTCTCGATAGAAAACTTTAGTGTTTTATTACAAACAAAAAAATAAGTAACAAAATTGATTCGCGCCTAAGTTTACAGAGATTTAAAATGTGGAGCGATTTTTGAATCGAAAGATAGACGGCGACGCGCTCTCTCGGAGCGCTAGGGAATTTTCTTAAATCAACCGGAGAGGAGAGAAATTGGCGCGGTCGGTGTGCCGATAACAGCCGGTAGCTCCGGGCGCGCCGGGCCGATCGCAGCGCCCGCGTGAAAACGTGGATTGTCAGCGTCCACCGCAGGCCGCAGCGGCGACAGAGTCAACATCCGGCCGACGCAGAGATGCGCACGTTTCGGCGCTCGGAAGAAGGACGCCGCGATCGTGATTTCGGGACATGAAAGCGAGATGAATGGTCGTGACACGAGGACGAGGGCCTGAGGAGAGCGCTGGGACAAAACACTCCGCGAGGGCGATTCGAAGATCCATTGTCTCCGCGCGCTCGTTCGCTATTGTTTTTTTTTTCAGTATCGCCACAGTCGTTGTCCGTCATCGTCATCGTCGTCGATCAGCCGGACGACCGCGCCGGTGCGCCGTGCGCTGCGCGTTCCTCGTGAGTGTTGCTGCTGCTGCTGCTGCCGCTACGTTGAGAGAATCGCGGCAACGACGGTGCATATAGTCTCGTTATAGGTCGTGCGAGCTCCCCTACGTGACTAATCCCGCGTGATTCGGAGGAGACGATAAAGGAGCCCGCCGTCAGGGTCAGTTATTGCCGCGTGCTACTCCGCCTACGATCCGCCCGGCGGTCACGGCACCGTTAATCCCGCGCCGAGGAAAATCGTCGAGGGATCACTCGCATCTGAAGCGGCGGGCCGGTCCTTCTCCGCCCCCTACCTCCCTCCACCGACGACCCGGCGAAGCTGAGCTTGTCGCGCGACGACAGCAAACACGGCGCGGACACATCGGGCACGAGGTACATACATCGCGCAACGCTTTCGGAACATCCTCTCGCGCGATCAAAATTCGCTGCCGAATTAGAAAAGGGAGAGGGTTAGGAGGAGAGAGAGATCAAAAGTGGCATCCTAAAAGAGGGACGGATATCCATAGAGGAAGGAGGAGGAGAGAGAGAGAGAACTCATAGACGACGCGAACGTGTGCCGGGAACATACGTCGTCCCGAGTTCCCGACGCTTGGGTTGAGCCGGAATCTCGTCTTTCCTGCGAGCGTAAGCTGCGGAGAGATGCATTCGATCCGAGAGAGAGAGAAAGAGAGAGAGAGGGAGAAATAAATTCGCGTGCTCGCCCGTATCGAAGAGAAATCAATTTTGGGCGCGTTGAACCTCGGCGCGCTACAAGAAGACAACAAACGCGATGATGTTAACAAATCTTTTCTCTTTTTCTCGGATCGTCTCGCATAAGTCTTTAGTACGGATGGCCCGTACGTTACTCATACATCGTGAACACGATCCGTATCGCGGATCTCCTCGGAACGGAAAAGCGATGCTTCTCTTCGGCCGGGCTCTCGTCACGCTATGTTTCGCGACGCCGTTTAAAAATACAACGCGCAGATATCGAGTGACGAGCGATATTTATCCGGCGCGATGTTTATGTTTTTGCGGAGTAGAGAGAGAGAGAGAGAGAGGGGAAGGAGATATTAAATTTATTTATATAGAATTATATGAGCAATGAAAAGAGAATAAATAAAAGTTAAAAATATTATCTAAAATATTGATATATTTTTTTATAAAGTTTTCAAAATATTTGCATGATGTTTTGATTTAATGATAAAATATCAATATTTATTATAATATTAAACAATTATATCTTTGTAAGAAACAGAGGCTCCAAAATAAATATTGAACTTATAATTTTTTCCATCTCTTTAAAATTCTGTCACTTATAAAATTCACAGTTCCAAATTTTATTTTATTCTAGTGTACACTATAATGTTATACACACTGTTCTCCAAACAGAAATGTGTTTTCCTATAGGTTACATTCCGAACACGCATCTACCACTGCAATATAAATAGTCAAGGAGTTATCTGCTTGGACATATTAAAGGACAATTGGTCTCCTGCATTGACAATTTCAAAGGTCTTACTGTCAATATGTTCCCTTTTAACAGACTGCAATCCAGGTGGGCATTATAATAAATTATCTACTAATTCATTTACAAATTCAGTATACAATGTATACATTGCAAACAATGAATATATTTATGGCATATATATATGTGTGTGTTTCCAAAATTATATTTTATGGATACCACACGCACACATTCTCTTTTACATAATTATTACATAGATCTCGTGTAATTTTATTTTACAGCTGATCCATTGGTAGGTAGTATAGCCACACAATACCTACAAAATAGAGAAGAACATGATCGCATAGCACGGCTTTGGACTAAGCGCTATGCTACATGAGCATGTTCTTAATTTATATTAAACTCCTATTAGTCTCATGCCAATCATGACTTATGATCGCTGCTGCTCTCATACAACTTGTCTCATATGTAGCCCATATACATCTTTATCTATGATCATGTTGGTCAGAAAACACAAGTGATCAAAGGCCGTTTGAGATCAGCTCAAACATGATTGTGATGTGCTTTTATGTTGAGTATGTAATGTGCCTAAGACGAATGAATGTGCGTGCAAGTGTGTTTAAACAGTGTGTTAGGGCATAATGAGACAGGAGTTTTTCACTTAAAAGTTACAATGAGATAGTATTTAAATGGATTGTATTGTGTATCAGCAATACTACCCATAATGCTGCTAATGTTTTTAGTTGTCGATGGAAATTCTTTGTTTTACGATACCTTGTCGAGCACGCGCGAAACATAGCACGAGATAATCGTTTTCTCGGTGTTTGATTATACAATGCATATATATTAATTTTCTATATCGCTTTGCGTTATCAAAGTTGTTAATTAAACATAATTTTAATTTACCTGCAAAACAATGAAATTTATTTCTCTATTTACTTTGTACATGTGACGCAGATTCACATGTGAAGCACATTTTATCAATAATTTTACTGCTTTTTTTCTAATAAACTTTTATTTTATGCTTCATAGAAACATTAATTGCCAATGCGTAATTAATTTTTTTATAAGGATATTTTATGAACTCCAACTATATCAAAACAAAAATGTAATATGTATCTAATGTATTCCCCCATTATGCTTGAAAATTATTTTGGAATTTATGATATATACTTTTTTTTTTTTTTTTCTTTTTTTTCTAACCAATGTTGGTGCAATTTGTGTGTTTTTAGACTTTTCATATTATTTAATTGTTTTAGAGAATACTCTTACATATCAATTCTGTTGCATATTTGAAACACCCAGAAGTCCGAGCGTATTAAATACTTTAATTCATGAACAATATTAATAATCTAAAGTATAAGTAATTAAATATATAGGTGACATAAAATATCGATATAGAGGGCCATTTTTTTCATAATTAAACTCATATTTTTATATTGAATTATTCAATTTAAATTATTATAATTCATACATGTGTCTCACCTAACTTGAGGTATAAACTAGTAACATATATAACTATAATTTAGCCATTGCAAACTTACTGGCATACAATTTTGTGTTCATAATACACAGAAATATGTGTAATGTTCTGCATGAAGCAGACGTAAATGTTTATTTTGTATCGATTGTCTGGGCCCAGCCGTAAAAATGTAATTGTAAATAAATTTACTGTATACTTATATGCTGATATATTCAAAAAACTTGTAATTCTGACCCGAATTTATATTCTGTCTATATATATATATA